TTCTGTTATCGATACAAAAAATTCAAGTTTCTACATAATGGTCAATTGTTCTTCTAAACGTGTGCCGATTGTTTCCTAAGATAAATTGTTTTGATTACTCATTTACAGAGAAATAGAATTTAAGATCCCCAAGTAGCATTCCCCACCTTGACCCTCACTTTCCATGCACCTGTCATAAAAACACAGGGAGGGAGAATAACCAAGTAGATGACAACCGAATGTTGTCAGAATCCAGGCGTACTGTTGTGGGTTGATTTGTGTCCCCAAAAAACACAGGCTGAAGTCCGAGCCACAGGTACGTGTGGATGGGACCTTATTTGGAAATAGGGTCTTTGCAGGTGGATTCAAGTTCAGAGGAGGTCACCCTGGAGGAGGGTGAAACTTGAATCCAACCACTGGCACCTGAGAAGAAAAGACACAAAGGCACAAGGGACCCCCATGTGCTGATGCAGACAGGCAGACTGGAGTCACGCCGCTACCAGCCAAGCAACGCCAAGGACTATCCTCAAGGACCAGAATCGAGGAGGGGGGCATAGAACAGATTCTCCCGCACAGCCGCCACAAAAAATCAACTCTGCCAGGGCTCGATTTCAGACTTAGCCTCCAAAACCGTCAGAGAATAAATCGGTTGCCTCAAGCCATCCGCTTTGTGTACTTTATTAGGGCAGGCCCTGAGAAGCTAGTGCACACACTGGAATCGGAGGGACAGGGTTCCCAGGTTTGTTAACCACAGAGAACAGAGGCAGGCAGCGTGGGCTGCAGAAGCAGCCAGATTCAGAGATCTAGAAGGAGCCTTGTGTGCCTTTGGCTTTATGTGTGTCTACTAAGCTAAAATCAACACGGGTTGTAAACACAAGGTGGGGAAAAGGTCGATGGTGACTCCGACCGCAGCCGTCCAGCTGAGCAAAACCGGGGAAATAGCATTGCCTGTGACGACTTTGGCAGAATGATCCAGGGCGATGTGGTTATTACATGGAGTGAGGAACCCTAAACCCATCACTGAACCCTGGGGCACTTGGTTCACGAGTGCCGCTTCAGAAAGGAGTGGGAATCTCCCTCACAAAGCTTTTGGTACTGAGAAGGGTCAAACACGTTCACTAAAACTAGTGGTGGCAAAAAAAAAAGGACAAATTTCAAAACTGTAATTTAATAGAAGGTCAGGGGTCATTTCAATGATACCCCACAATTGCACCAAAGTTTTCCAAGCGCTCGAACACGTATTATCACGTTTGCTTCTGCTGACGGTTTTCTAAAACGGAAAAATTGTTACACCCCGTGTTTCACAATGAAGTTGAGTCACAGGTAAGACACCCATACACATACACGCAGCTATGATAGCGGGAATTAGGGCATTTAGTGTCTATTTCTATTTTATTTATGCAACAATTTGCTAAATATCAAAATTTAACATTTTGCCAAAGTCTGCTAAAACTTTTAAAAATTTAATAAACTTACCTGGGTTATTCTCCTCATATAAAATCCGTGTGTGTGTGTGTGTGTGTGTGTGTGTATGCAATATGTCAAGTGTATTGATTGGCTGATTTTCATATATATTTATTTTGACTCTCGGCTTCAAAGTGAAGTCTCAATTGAACAACTATTGCTTCCGTTGTTCTCTACTGTCATTTCTCTGGGGACCACACAACATTTTATTTTGGATTCTATTTATAAACCTGACATGCGGTAATGTGTGTGCATTCAAGCATCCAACTCGCGATTTCATTTTTATCCTTACTTTGCTGGTATTGGAGACTAGCGGTCTCCTCCGGCACACAGTCAAGTAGGAAGCACACCCGGGAGCCTGGAACTCGGTCAGCACCTAGTGACTTCCTCCGCTGAGTCCGCACGGCAGCCTTCGTTTGTTCGCACTGTTCAGCTGGCAGTTGGCTGGTATCTTATTCGTGCTGCCTTTATTAGTGCTCTGGACCCACTGTTCCTGGTCAGTACAGCTCCGTACTCACGGTGGGACTTGGGGCTACTTTCAGATAATTGCAGATGCCTTTCAGATAATACATTTCAAGAAAGTTTCCTTTTAATCCCACACATTTCTGTCTTCAATTATGAATAATTTGCTTACAACCAAGTATGGATGATGCTAGAATCTTGTGAAGTACGCTTAGAAACTTAACTAGGATTCCAAAGTTTCCCAAAATATTAGAAATACGTATTCTACCATACATGTAAAATATATGTATGTATATATATGTATACAATATATGTATAAAAATATATACAATATATATAATATATGCAATATATAATATATATAATGTATATAATATATGTATAAAAATATATATTCTACCATACATATAGAATAATATACTGTATGTATAAAAATATACCATATATATAAAAAAGAATTACTGTAAATCCTTCCCCAACCATTCAAGAATATGGAGAGGAAAAGACACTTCTGAACCATTTGATGAGGCCAGCATTGGCATGATACGAAACCCAGACAAAGATACTCCAAGGAAGGAAAACTGCAGGCCGATAATCTTGATGAACATACGTGAAAAAATCCTCAACAAAATATTAGCAAACCAAATTCAATAGCACAATCCAAGGGATCATATACCATGACCACGTGGGTTTTGTCCCTGGGCTGCAAGGATGTTTCAATATAATTAAAATCAATTAATGTGATACATTACTAGAATAGAAGGTAAAAGCCATAGGACCATCTCAATTGGTGCATAAAAAGCACTTGATAAAATTCAATACTTCCATGATAAAAAGCTCTCTACAAAGTAGGAATAGAGGGAAATTACCTCAACATAATAAAGGCCCTACATGGAAACCTTACAGCTAATATATTCCACAATGAAAAAGTGAAAACTTTCTACTAAAATCAGGAAAAAGCTAAGGATGCCCACTCTTGCTATTTCTATTCGACTGGAAGTCGTAGCCGGAACAATTATACTTGTAAGAGAAATAAAAAGCATTCAAATAAGAAAGGGAGAAGTCATTATTTGCAGATGACATGCCACCATACGGAGAAAACCCAAAGACCCTAGCATAAAACTGTTAGCACAAATATGCAGTGCAGTCAAATTATAAGTTACAAAATCTACGTGCAGATATCAGTTCCGTGTCTGTGTCCTAAGAAGAAAGTGTCTGAAAAGAAAATAAAGAAAACAATCCATTTACAATAGCACCAAAAAGAATAAAATACTTCGATGTAAGCTTAACTAAGAAAGGGAAGATTTGAACACTGACAACTACAAGACACAAACAAATGGAAAGATATCCTTTGTTGAATGGGGTAGAAGACTTACTACTATTAAGATGTGACTACCCTGAGTGATCAACTGATTCAATGTTGATTCCTATCAAAATCCTAATAGCATTTCTTACTGAGTTAGGAAAAAAAAAAAAAAAAAAACCAGAAAATTCATATGGAGTCACAAAAGGCCCTGAATAGCCAAAACAATCTTGAGAAAGAAAAAAAAATGAAGCCGGAGGAATCACACCTTCTGCTTGCAAAATGTACTACAAAGCTACAATAATTAAACCTGTATTACTGGTAGGGGCGCCTGGGTGACTCAGTCCAGCGAGCATCGGACCTTGGCTCAGGTCACTATCTCACTGGCTGTGGGTTTGAGCCCGGCATCGGGCTCTGTGCTGGCAGCTCAGAGATTGGAGCCTACAGCCTGCTTTGGATTCTGTGTCTCCCTCCCTGTCTCCCCCTCCCCCACTTGCACTCTGTCTCTCTCTCTCAAAAATAAATAACATTAAAAAGGAAAAAAAAAACTGTGTTACGGGCATAAAGACAGACATATAGACCAACGGGACAGAACAGAGAGCTCAGAAATACACCTCCATATATGTGCTCAATGAAGAAGGTGCCAAGAATACACAGTGGGGAAAGGGAAGTCTTTGAGTAAATGGTGCTGGGAAATTGGACACCCACATGTAAAAGAATGGATTTGGACCCTTAACTTACGCCATGCACAAAAATGCACTCAAAATGGGTTGAAAATTAAAGCATAACAGCAGAAACTACAAAATTTCTAGAAAAGAAGTTCTGGTGACTTCGGTCTTGACAATGATTTCATGGATATGAAGCCAGCACAAGCAACAAAAGGAAAAAGAAAATGGAAAGACCATGAACCAAAAGTCTTCAGAAGAGCAAGGGAGAAAAGTCAATGCTGTGAAACGGAATGGAAAAAAATTGCAAACCCTGTATCTCATAAGTGGCTAAATTTGAAAATACATAAGGCACTTCTGAAACTCTAGCAAAAAAACTCGTAACCCAATTAAAAAATGGACTACTGACTTGAATAAACATTTTTCCAAATAATACACAGATGGCTAACAAGACGTATGAAAAGGTGCTCAATGTCGCTAATTATTGGGGAAATGCGTATCAAAACTACAATGAGATAGCACCTCTCACCTGTTAGGGTGGCCGATATGAAAGAAAGAGAAAGAAAGAAAGAAAGAAAGAAAGAAAGAAAGAAAGAAAGAAAATGAAGGAAGGAAGGAAGGAAGGAAGGAAGGAAGGAAGGGAGGAAGGAAGGAAAGAAGGAAGGAAGGAAGGAAGGAAGGAAGGGAGGGAGGAAGGAAGGAAGAAAGAAAAGAGGAGAAAAGAAAGAGACAAGTGTTGGCCTGGATGTGGAATACAGCTGACCCTTGAACAACGTGGGGATTAGGGGTACTGACTCCCAACCCAGTGTAGTCAAAAATCTGCATATAACCTTTGATTCTCCCCAAACTCAATTACTAACAGCCTACTGCTAACTAGAAACCTTACCAATGATGTGGTCAATTAACACATACTTGTGTGTTATATGGATTATGTATTGCATTCTTACAATACAGTAAGCTAGAGAAAAGAAAATGTTAAGAAATCCTTGAGGAACAGAAAATACACTAACAGTACTATACAGTAAAACCTTGGTTTGCGAGGGTAATTTTTTTCCTGAAAACATGCTTATAATCCCAAACAATTGTATATGAAAGCAAATTTCAAGAACCATTGACTCAGCTGTGATCATGTGACATTGGGCGTCACGTACTACTCGTATTGCAAAACATCACTCGTTTATCAAGTTAAAATTTATTAGAAACGTTTGCTCGTCTTGTGCAACATTCGAAGAACAAGTTACTCGCCACCCAAGGTTTTACTGTACTGTATTTATCCAAAAGAATCCACGTTGGGGCGCCTGGGTGGCTCAGTCGGTGGGGCATCAAACTCTTGATTACAGCTCAGGTCATGATCCCAGGGTCATGGGATCGAGCCCCATGTTGGGCTCCATGCTGAGCGTGGCGTCTGATTAAAACTCTCTCTCTCTCTCTCTCTCTCTCTCTGTCTCTCTCTGCCCTTCCCCCCTGCTCTGTCTAAGACAAAAAAAATGAAAAACAAATCCATGTATAAGCAGACCCATGAACTTTAAATCCTTGCTGTTGCGTCCATTTTAATTGGAATTCTTGTATACGGTTAATGGGATGCAAAACGGTGTAACCATTATGGAAGTTACTATGGAGATTCCTCAAAAAAATTAAAACTAGAACTGCCATGTGACCCAACTGCCCCGCTTCTGGGTACTTACCCAGAAGAGGTTACCATCAAGATCTTGAAGAGATACTAGCCCTCCCATGTTGATTGCAGCAAACTTACAATAGCCGAGATACGGCAACAACTTAAATGGCTTATTGACCAAGAAATGGACAGGAAAATGTCATATACATACACACCAGAATATTTTTCAGCCTTCCTTCTTAAAAAAGAGGGAAAGCCTGCAATATGCAAGAGCATGGGGGGAAGCTAGAAGACACGATGCTAAGTGAAACGAGCCAGTCTCAGAAGGTCAAACACTGCATGACTCCATCCGCGTGAGGTATCTGACATGGCCAAACTCGGTAGAAGCCGAGGACAGGATTGTGGTTGCCAGGGGTTGGGGGGAAAGGAAATAGTGAGCTGCTAATCAAGGGTATACATTTTTAGTTATGCAAGATGAATGAGTCCAGACGTCTGCAGTACGGCAGTGTGTCTATAGTGAACAATACTCAACCGCACATTTAAAAAACTACTAAGAGGGTAGGTCCCATGTGAAGTATCCTTAAAACTTAAAAGCGAAAACTTTTTAAATGTAAGAAATTAAAACATTTTATTTGCATTGTTTTATTGCTTTCCAGAAAATACTTTTATTGCCTATCAAAATGGAGCAGGGCAGAGAAAAGACTTTTAAGTGCCCCTCCTCAGAGATATTTTTCCCCTTTGTTTTGGCTATCGCCGTAAATTGATGTCCGCAGGATGTCACCAGCTCAACCAAGCCTCAAGGATATTTTTTAATTCACCAGAGCAATAAAGCATTTATGGCTCCGGTGTTAAAGAGTGCTAGTTTGAACAATGGAAATTTAGACACGGCTGGATTTGATACGTGGCCTCAGTGTCGTGGTACAAATTTTACAAGAGGAATGAGAGATTGAAAGGCTAAACCATAAATACACAGCAAGTTTTCAAAAGAGAAAAAAAAAAAGAAAAAAGGTAGAAATATTGGTTAAATTCGTTTCCCCAGGTACCAAAAAAAAAGAATTCCCAAAGCTGTGTGATAAACAAGTACCCAGGAAAGCCGAGCTGCCAACAGCAACAGCATATTTTTATTCGAAAGGTTAATGCCAAGGTCCCAGGGAGATAATTCCATTTTAGAATGGACATAAAACTTCACTCACCTATTGACATTATTTTACTGTATTCTGTGAGAGAACTCTATTGAGGGACCTTGATCTCCTGTTTATTAACATTTGATTTGGAGTCCTCTGTTCTCAAACCTCAGCTCCAAGGTCAGGCTTTTCAGTTCCTCACCACCCCTGTTTGCAGTAGAATCTCCCTCGTTCTTCTTAGCGCGTCCTCCCCAGGATGCTGATGTCTGGGTATCCTTTGTTTTGTGCATGCCAGCGTTGCTCCTTGTCCTTGTTCTCGAAGAGGCACTCCTTCTGAACACTCCACCTACCTGCATACGTGTCCTCAGTCCCACATCACTCCTGCAGTCAGATGTACCCAAGTCCCAAACAGCTTGGGTGTTCTCCTGGGTGGCACAGTCGGGTAAGCATCTGGCTTTGTTTGGCTCAAGTCATGGTCTCATGGTTCAGTTTCTGAGTTCAAGTCCCTGGTCAGGCTCTGTGCTGACAGCTCAGAGCCTGAAGCCTGCTTCAGATTCTGTCTGGCCGGCTGTCTGACTCTGTCTCTCTCTCCTTTCAAAAGAAATAAACATTTCAAGAAAAAAACACAAGTAAATATAGAAGCACATGATCCACCTTCAGTACCAATCGTGGCTTAGTTACTTCTGTACGAAAGGTGGGCACACGAATACGGAACCCCCAAAGTATGCAAACTGATGACCACTTAGAGCCGTGCTAGATCAGGACAAGCTTCCCCCAGAAGGAACGCACCGCTTTGCAGTTTACAGCTTGGGGCCACAGATGAGAGCCCTCACTTGCTGTGGACAAGTCAGTTCCCCATGGAGGGAGGATAAGGCTAAGCTCTACCTGTCCAGTGATTCCTACCAAAAGTGTCCATCACTTATCTCCACGTCCAGAGGCTGGGGTTCATAAAGGACACAGAGAGGCCAGCATGTGCTTTAAGGACACACACACACACACACACACACACACCATTCTACATTGGTTTGCAAAAGGCTAACTCCAAATTACACCCAGCCCCCACATTCTGCTTCTGCAGTCCCCTTGGGTTGTGACTGTTCAAGTTGCCTTCTACTTTTCTGGAAGAGTTTGTGGAGACTTGGTATCGCTCCATTCTTGAAATGTTAGATCGAATTCCGTACTGTAACTGTGACTGGCACAGTCTTCGCGGGAAGCTGTGTCACTGCAAAAAAATCATCAACAGACAAAGAGTTATTCGTGCCATCTCCTTTTTCTTGCTCAACTGGGATCATTTTTCAAGAATAATTTTCTATGTCACCTATTTAGAATCTAAATTAGACACTTCCTCCTGTCTTTTAAACATCTGTAGAATCCTGAGTGATATGGTATCTTTCATTCGCGTTATTGGTACTTTGTGTCTTCTCTCTTACTCTGATTGGAAGTTTCTCATTTTTGTTGATCTTTTCAGAAAATCAGATGTTGGCATTACCGATCTTCTCTAGTGACCTTTAATTTGTCTTGTGGTTTCTTTTGGCCCAGGTATTGTGTGGCTCAAAATATGATCTACCTTAGGGAATCTTCCAGGTGCACTTGAAGAGTATGTGTATGTGTTCGTGGGAGTGTTCCACAGCATAGACACGCTTCCTTTCACCGAGAAAAATCTAGATAGGAAAGTGACATGTCAGAAAAATAGCAATAAAATAATAATAATCCACAGAAAGAGAAAGAGTATGTGTTGGAGTTATCAAACCATGAACGCACGCATTCAAGGACAAAAAGAAGGACCAAGTTTGAGGTAGATCTAATCTTTCCAAGCAGTATTGTTTGGAGCAGCTATGGGGCAGTCTAGGGAGAGACCAGACCTACTTGGCCAATAGTCTAAGCAGAGAGTGGTTATTCACAAAGCCTTGCAAAAAGTAAAAGTAAAAACTGATTTTCATGTTTTATTAAATTATGAAATGAGAAATAGTAACTTCTTCCTATTTTGGGACCTCTTTTAGATTTGGGACCTCTACCAGAGGAACCTCTACCAAAAATCTATTGCATGTTCATCAAGGGTGAACCAAGGATCGTGCTATGGAAATTAGACAAGAAATGAGGGGCGCCTGGGTGGCTCAGTAGGTTGAATGTCTGACTTCAGCTCAGGTCGTGATCTCACAGTCTTTGGGTTCAAGTCCCACGTCGGGCTCTGTGCTGACAGCTCAGAGCCTGGAGCCTGCTTCGGATTCTGGGTCTCCTTCTCTCTCTGCCCTTTCCCCGCCCCCACTCTCTCTCAAAAACAAATAAACATTCAAAAAAACATACGCAATTGAACCTTTGTGGTTTCCCTGGCTGGGGAAATTCAACAGCGTTTTGACTTTGCAGCAAAGCAGATGTAGCTCTGAGCAGACCCTGGCCTCCGAATCAGGCTTGGCTGTCATTGCTTGTTCTGAAGGAGGTGTGCGAATTGATGTCAGTGACATGAAATGCTAAGGTGCCCCAGTGGAGAGGTGTCCACGATAATCTGCCACCCATGGCCCTGCAGACAGCACGGCACGCTAAGGGAAGCAGGGCCCCCCTGCAGATAAGGAGGAGGGCTCGCACAAGTCAGATTTTATGAACCAGGAGCAGGGCAGAGCAGCCGGGCCAAATTCCCAGGTTTCTGGATGGGAGAAGTGAGAGATGAGAGCGACAAAGGAGAAAACCAAGCCGGTCAGGGGTGCGCGCACCTTGTCTCACACGTACCTTCAATAGAAATAGCAACATACTAATTTATTCTTCCAGGAATCCCTAGAGTTTGATAATATTCTTATATTTTTCCAGAATAGAATGTAGAGAGCTATCCAAATTCAAACATTACAAAATCCAAACAAGAATTGTATAAGTGATGGGCACGGAGGAGGGCACTTGTTGGGATGAGCACAGTGTGTTGTATGTTCATCTGTTTTGTTTCTTAAATTCCACATATGAGTGAAGTCATATGATATCTGTCTTTGACTGACTAATTTCACTTAGCATAATACCCTCTAGTTCCTTCCATGTTGTTGCAAATGGCAAGATTTCATTCTTTTTCATCACTGAGTAATATTCCATGGTGGATATACACCACATCTTCTTTATCCGTTCATCAGCTGATGGAAATTTGGGCTCTTACCATAATTTGGATATTGTTGAGAGTGTTGCTATAAACATTGGGGTACACGGGCTCCTTTGAATCAACATTCTTGTATCCTCTGGATAAATACCTAGTCGTGCAGTTGCTGGGTCATAGGGTGGTTCTATTTTTCATTTTTTTGAATAATCTCCATACTGTTTTCCAGAGAAGCTGCACCAATTTTCATTCCCACCAGCAGTGCCAGCGGGTTCCCCTTTCTCCTCATCCTCACCAACACCTGTTGTTTCCTGAATGGTTAATTTTAGCCACTCTGACAGGTGTGAGGTGGTATCTCCTCGTGGTTTTGATTTGTATTTCCCTGATGATGAGAGATGTTGAGCATTTTTTTCATGTGTCGGTTGGCCATCTGGATGTCTTCTTTGGAGAAGTGTCTGTTCATGTCTTCTGCCCATTTCTTCCCTGGATGTCTTTTGGATGTTGAGTTTGGTAAGTTCTTTATAGATTTTTGGATACTAACCCTTCCTCCGATATGTCATTTGCAAATGTCTTCTCCCATTGCCTTGGTTGCCTTTTAGTTTTGTTGATTGTTTCCTTTGCTGTGCAGACGCTTTTTATCTGGATGAGGTCCCACTAGTTTGTTTTTGCTTTTGTTTCCCTTGCCTCCAGAGACATGTTGAGTAAGAAGTTGCCGTGGCTGAGGTCAGAGAGCTTGCTTCCTGTTTTCTCCTCTAGGATTTTGATGGTTTCCTGTCTCACATTTATGTTTTTTATCCATTTTGAGTTTATTTTTGTGTATGGTGTTAGAAAGCTGTCCAGGTTCATTTTTCTGCACATCGCTGTCCAGTTTTCCCAGCAGCGTTTGCTGAAGACACTGTCTTTTTTTCCATTGATTATTCTTTTCTGCTTTGTCAAAAATTAATTGCCCACACATTTGGGGTCCATTTCTGGATTTCCTGTTCTGTTCTATTGATCCACTTATCTGTTTTTGTGTCTGTACCACATTGTTTGATTTATTCTTATGCCACTAATAGAAAAATGTTGCCTCCTTTTGTGTGTGTGTGTGTGTGTGTGTGTGTGTGTGTGTGTGTGTGTATTTAGGCCTGAGGAAATATTTGTACAAGATAAATTGTCGGAAACAAATGTAAGATAATTTTACTATTTCACTAGCCATCACCAAAATGCCATTATAAATGCAGTATCGTTTTATACTTCCATTAAGATGGTAGGAGAATGAGCATTTTTCCACAACTTTCCAGAGAGGACATTATCTTTTCATATTAAAAAAATTAATAGTCCAGAGATGATATTTTATTACTGTTTAATTATCAGTTATGCAAATTTTACTAAGGTTGAACAGACATTATGTTAATTAGGCCAATTCCTTTTCAATTAATTGTCCTTTTGTATCTTCAGCAATGTTTGAATATTCCTGCCAAAATTGTACACGCAATTTACGAGGATTCCATGGGCAGTAGAACGAATTTTCTGTGTGTCCCCAAAATACATACATACAGTGCGACCTACAAAAACCACATTCACTAATTGTTTGTAGATTTCATAGTAATGGAACATAAATATTTTTCTAATGTTCCTTCTAATTTCCTTCTATTCACCATATTTTTTAAAAAGCATTAACTATGACAATGTCGCCACTACTTATTCCCATTTATTGGGACTCGTTTGCCCTGCTAAAACTGTTCTCCATTTACAATGCCTCCCAGTGTAGACTACTGGTATATATATAGACGCACTCTGGCCCATGACGTGTGCCTACTCACCATTGGTTTCACCTGATACAACTGCCTGGAGTTTGCAAAATGCCACACAATTGTGTTCTTACAATCTACAAACTGTCCCAAAGTTGAGTCAGCGTTACATATTACCTAGCGTACTTCTCAATCTCATGCCGGAGAAAAATATTCCCTAAGCACAAAATCTGGAACAGCTCTCGTCCCTGGGGTGATTTCCTTCTAGGCCATCCTTGTATTATGGGACAGGTCTGCTCTTTCTTGGCATGCTTCTCTGACATATTATCACTGTTCTCAAAATGTGTGTTTGACACAGAAAAAAAATTAATAAATTGATTCTCTTACATTACGTACAAAAGTATAGCAACTGAATACTTGTCAACAGACAGTCCCAACACGCCATCACACACGTTATCCCTTACCCATCAGTTCCCCAGTCCAGGGGCCCAGCAACTGCCTCCTTGTGTCTGGCCCATGCTTAAGGATTGGGCCACACTCTGCAGACACTGCAGGATGCAAACCTTGTCGGCCAGGGAATCCGGCAGAGTTGCAGATTATTATTTTAACATTTTAAGATTAAAAGTTTCTGCGCTCTAGGAGTTATACAGATTTAAAATCACTTTTGTTGTATTCACTGCAGTATAATTCATATACAGTACTATATTAGTTCCAGGTGTACAATTTAGTGGTTCAACAATTCCATACATTCCCCAGTGCTCATCACGGTAAGCGGATTCTTGATCCCTTCTACCTGTTTCACTAGCCCGGATGCACCTCCCCTCTGGCAACCATCAGTTTGTTCCTAGAGTTAAGGGAGGGGGGTTGGCTCTTCTTTTCCTTGTTTGTTCATTTGCTTTGTTTCTTATCTTCTACACGGGAGTGAAATCATACGGTATCTGTCTTTCTCTGCCCGGTTAATTTCACTTAGCGTTATACCCCCAGGGTCCTTCCTTGTCGTTGCAAATGGCAAGAGCTTTTTCTTTTTCTCTTTTATGGTTGAGTAATACTCCTTAAGTATACCATGTCTTCGTTATCCCTTTATCTGTGGATGTTATTTACCTGTTGTAAATAACGCCACAGCAAACAGGACTGCGTATATCTGTTCCAAAAAGTGTTTTTGTGTTCTTCGTATGGACACTCAATACGAGAATTACTAGGTCACATGGTAATCCTGTTTTTAATTTATTGAGGGCAGAGTTGTATACTTTTTCTATTAGCTTCCAAACCTTGAAAGACCTGCCAGACCTTTCTAGAAATTAATGCATCGATTGCTTATAAATATTTTAAAAAGCTGCGTTCCCTCCATTTCTACAGCTTCTGTTGTGTGTAGGGTTTGTAGGGGGACATCCGAAGCGCACTGGTCGGTCCCTTGAGGTTTCTGAAGTTTGCCATGAGCGTTACACCCGCTGAGGAGGCCGGCAGGAGCGAGGCCAGCACCCTGACAGAAGAGCCGAGAGGAGTCACCCTGTGCAGGAGTGTATATTTGTAAGATGGAATATACAAACTGGAAGAAAAGTAACCTCCAGAAGACAAAACGGCAGCGTTCTAATATCTGAAGGGCGGCTATGTCGGACAGGGATTCCCTGTGTTCTGAGTCACTCAGTCCGGTGCAAAAATGAAAGGTACTGAGGGTGACTTGAGCTTCGTAGTAAGAACCTGATGGCAGTCACATCGAGGGCGGCCTCGCTTGCTCCCGGAGGTACCGCATCCCATGTCTCTGGCAGATTTCGAGTTGAATAACCGTTGGGACACCGTGCTGCGAGGGGAAGGTGGAGTGTCAGATGAGGCGGATTCAATGGATGGCTCAGTAAAGCAAGCGGTGAAAGAGGAAGGAGAAGATCTGTGATGTCGACCCGCCAGCTGGGCTGGCCGCGGGGTGCCCAGATTGCACCTTGTCTCTAGGTACGTTTCTGGATGAGCTTTGCCCGTTTTAATGGCGCGGCAAAACCCGAGGTGCTGCAACCCCATCACCAGCTACCTTGTGCAACCAGACCCTTACCACCCTGTCTTTAAAAAAAAAATGTTTTAATGTTTATTTACTTTTGAGAGACAGGGAGAGGCAGAGCGTGAGCGGGGGAGGGGCAGAGAGAGAGGGAGGCACAGAATCCGAAGCAGGTCCCAGGCTCTGAGCTGTCAGCACAGAGCCCGATACGGGCTCGAACCCACAGACCGTGAGATCATGGCCTGAGCTGAAGTGGGACACTTAACCGACGGAGCCCCCCAGGCGCCCCCTTTGCCACCTCATCTTGCTGCCGAGAGGGGTCTCATCTTTTGTTCTCCTCCAATCAGAACATATCAGAAGAGTTATCTTTGGTCTGTTTTCCTTCCTTACTCCATATTTTCCCCTCAAACCATCCAAATCTGGCTTCGCCTCTCACCATCCGGGTAAGACCAAACCTCTCAGGTCCCGGACATCCTTCTCATCTTCAGATCAGACGATGGGTGGCTGCTTCTACCCGGGAGGCAGAGTGGCACGCCACCGGGTAACCACTCTGCTTTTTTAATGCTCTGCTTTAATTGGCTTTTCCTTTTTCCTTCTCCGCCTGCCTTCGGAACCCCTGCCTGGCAGCTCAACAGTGAAATGCTAGTGTCCCTGGGGCCTTCAGGGCGCTTTCTCACTCTAACTTGCATGTTGCCCGCAGTGCGACCTGCGTGGTGGCATCACTTAGATGCCACCCATGCCAGTGACTCCTTACGTCCAGATGTGCTGCCACCTCACGCTCCTCCAGTGGCCGCATCAACACTAGGAGCTCTCAACACAGACTTAATTCCCACCACTCTTGAATCCCGTGTTGTCTCCATGCTTCTCCAGACCTATAATGTCGCCGGAGAAGCAATTCAACAGCTTAAGCTAAAAATTACAGAGTCGGCTCTGAGTTTTGTATTTCCTCATTCAACCCACGATTCCTGTCCATTCCACCTACAAAACACATCCCGGTATGTTTACTTTCTTGAACTCCACACTGCTTCAGATCCTTATAATCCCTGAACTGATCCAACAGTCCCCTAAATCCTCATCTTACACCCACTATATCCTCTTTGAAATCCATTGTCCACACAAGGGGCCAGAGCGATCTCTTTAAAAGTATTTAAAAGTGATAGTGGCAGTACCCTGTTTAAAATACCCCAAAGACTTAAGATGAAGGATAACATTTCTGGGCCTCGATTGCCAAAGCAAAGACAAAAACAAAAAATAAGTAAAATTTGACCCCTTGTAAAACACTCTCCTCTTTTACTGACTGCACTCCCAGACGAGTAAGTGGGTTTTCCTCCGTGAACGTAAGGTCATACATTTGCACCAGCCCCTCCCTCACCTCATTTCCCCTCATCTAGCACATTCTCCTCATCACCCAGGAACCTCTGAATATTCTCCAACTATCCAACCTAGAGAAAACTCTCAGTTATGCTTTATTCTATCCCTTCTTTCATCTATTTTAATCCCTGGTATAAAAGGCGTGTCCTGCGTAGGTTATAATTGAAAAGCCCTCTGCAGAAGGGTCTCCTTTAAACTACCAACAGCAATGAATAACTGGAAAAGAAAACTGTTCTATATTCACAGAAAAAAAATTTAACCTATCTGGAAGAGAAAGGATTCAATACATTTTCTTTCCAATGCATGCCTCGGGGATATGTGCTCTCAAAGATCAAATATCCCATTCACTTTCCAGGTGAAAGCCTTCATTCATTCAAATGTTTTAAAATAAATTGATTGCATATTTATTATGTACCAAGCACCGTTTAAGTAAACAAAACAGACGAGGGTCACGGACTCGTGGATCTTACATACTAGTCAGAGAGGCAGATAATTAGCAAGTAAAATCAAGTTCAATTTTTGTACCATAAGAAACAATGCCCTGAAGGATCTCTCATTCTCTAATACACACATTATAATTGACAAGCTGACGGCAGGATATGTTTAATCTAGCTGGTAAGATAAGGGAGTCATTATGCTCAGTATGAAACTAAGAAGGTCTACTTTATTTTTTTTATTACCATGGGGTGACTCAGTGACCCACTTAAACATCTAACTCCCAAAGCCCACCTGTCAACACCAGTGCATTAAATAACAAAGACAAGAATCCATTTTACGTGCCGTTTCCTCCATGTCTGGAACACTTTTTAGGATGCTTTAGTAAAACAGCATATTGCGTTTCTGAAACAATTACATCCTCTCAGGCCCTGGGTTGATAATCTACTTGTAGCCTAACGAGGCACGGTTGAATTTGGTCAC